TAGAGATAGATAGATAAACAGATAGATAAATGGATACATAGATGGATAGATAGAGAGATAGAGAGATAGGTAGATATATAGATAGAGATATAGAAAGATAGATAGATAGAGAAGATAGATAGAGAGATAGATAGATAGATAAGCAGATAGATAGATAGCACGAGAGATAGATACATAGGTAGAGAAAAATAGATAGACAGACAAATAGATAGACAAAGAAGAGATAAAAGAGAGAACAGCGCAAAAACAAGCAAACGAAAGAAACAAAGAAAAGAAAAGACAGATAGAAAGAAGGAAAGAAGGGAGGAAGGAAGGAAAGAAAGGAAGAAAGGAAGAATGACGGGGAAAAAGGAAACAATGAAAAGGAAGAAGAAGAGAAAAAGAGTCAAGAAAAGAAAGAGAAAGGGAACTATAGTTTTTATATTTTTGAAACTTCCGCCCCCCGGCCCTGCCGGACCTTACTTGTACTAGTAGTAGTAGATAGATAAATTAATAAATAAATAAATAAATAAAAATAATACGCATACTATAAAAGCAAAAAAATACACAAATTAAAAAAAATAGTAGTAGTAGTAGTAGTAGTAGTAGTAGCAGCAGCAGCAGCAGTAGTAGTACTAGTACTAGTAGTAGTAGATAGATAAATTAATAAATAAATAAATAAATAAAAATAATACGCATACTATAAAAGCAAAAAAATACACAAAGTAGTAGTAGTAGTAGTAGTAGTAGTAGTAGTAGTAGTAGTAGTAGTAGTAGTAGTAGTAGTAGTAGTAGTAGTAGTAGTAGTAGTAGTAGTAGTAGTAGTAGTAGTAGTAGTAGTAGTAGTAGTAGTAGTAGTAGTAGTAGTAGTAGTAGTAGTAGTAGTAGTAGTAGTAGTAGTAGTAGTAGTAGTAGTAGTAGTAGTAGTGGGATGCCTCATCATGAGCCGTTTTGCTGGCCTCACATGCGCGAGCCCTCACTCAGACGAGTTATTTGATAGAGTATCGATAGACGCATCGTTCTGGACACGTGTCCCTTCCAGAAATCAGCATTCATTCTGTCCGTGCTTTGGACCAAGTGCTGCACCAGCATGGTGAACCCTCTTCTGATTCTCGCCAATCCATGTTCAAAAGCTGTTTCCTTGTTCGCTTTACAACCGTTCGTGCGACCCTCTGCGTGACTTGGGGCTGGTTCGGCCCTTGAAAACTCGGTCTCTTTTGCAATGCTCAAACCGTTCGAGCAGCTCTCTGCGAATTTGGGGCTGGTCCCGAAAAACTTGTTTTCAAATCGCTGGAGTGACCCTCTGCCATGAAGGGCATCGGTTTTTGCGAGCCCTATCGTTTAAGGCAGAAGCAAAAAAGCACAGGTTTCTTGGACTGAAGTTGTCTACTTCTGAGAAAACGATAGGTGTTTCTTTTGGTTTGCCTGAGCCTCAAACAGAAGCTACCCCTAACGCCTAAACCACCAATCCAAACACCAATTGGAGAGAAGCTGACCGCTTGAAACCAGGTCCTTGATTACCATATTTTGCTTTTGGAGGGGGACCACATCCTTGTGTTGACAGTTACCCATACAAACCCTCGGCGAATTTGCTTTGGATCTCTCTTTACCCCGACCTCCAAAAGGGTACCAGTATCAAGTCAACAAAAAGACACGGCCACATGGGTGCAGTTACTGCTTTTGCAGATGCCCTTTCGGTTTTTGTTTAAATACCCTTTCAAGGCAGAACTAAATGGAGCTGTCAAAAGGGTTCCCTCAAATTTGATGCGGTGAAGGACTCATGCAAGCGGGCTGACTGGACTATCAGAATGACCCTATTTTGCATGGTGGCATGTTCGACCCACTGAGCGTGTTCTGGTTTAGCGCGGGAGTCAGAAATTGACTTTCATTTCGAACTCTTTTGGTTGGTTCAGGACTTCGCACTGGAGTTTGGTGATGCAACCAATTTTCTCCGGAAGGGTGAAAAATAAACGTTTGTCTTTTGGGGGAACACACACTCGCAGGCACTTATGTTGGGACTCGGGAGCCAAGGCCAAGGGCATGCAGCCATACGCAGAGCCAGTGAGTGGGGCGGGCGCTCGGTCCCCAAGCAAAGAAAATCAGCCCTGAACTAACCCTTACAGAGTAGCCGCAGACAACGGAAGCGGTCCAAAATGAAGCAAAGCTTTCTCAAGAGAGCACGGACATTTCGTGAGTTCTCCCTATGGACCAACCGGAAACTTGGGGGAACCTCGCATCGCATGCGGGCCAGGCGCGGGCATAGCGCAAGACTTGCGCGTGCTCGCCGGGATCGAATCGGATTTACTTCTGAGCCAATGCTGCGGTGCTCCTTGGGTGAAACGTTTGCTTTGATGACCCGAAGGTCTTCTGGAAAATCAAAAGAAGACGGGAAGTTCTATTGGTTATGGGCAATTTGTTGTTACTCTATTGGTTATGGGGAATTTCTCAAAAAGAACAAACCGGGTCAAAGTCTTCGGTGACCTGAAAAGGCCCCCAAAAGGGCATACTCACATGGGCCACGGACTAACTTACTTGTTTCTACAACACGAAATGGGGTTTTCGTGGAGACATGTCAAGCTCGGCCCCCATGTCCCTCCACAATGACCCATATAGACAATCCGGTCATGTTGAAGGAATCTATAGGCATGGAATCAGGAACTAATCACTGTAACTTTGTTTTCGTTCGACGCTTCACTCTTCTAAAAGCCAAGAACAAGGTGTGGCTCTCTCAGGTTCATGCAAACGGCAATTTACAAGGATGCCAAAACTTGGCAGTGGCATCGGCTCCAGGTCAGTCCTGGTTTTGATGTTGTGACCGTCCGCTTCTACAATTTCGCCAGCTCAGCGCCTCTAGGGGAGTCAGCCATGCTTGCGTGTCAAGAACGCTATTGCTAGATGACGTGAGCTTCCGGAAATATGTATATATATATATACACATGCTGCGTACAACGCGCAACGGTCCAGAGGCCACGCAAATTTGCATATCCTCTGGTGGGTACTTTTTAGAGTACCCCCTAACATGGTTTTGTGTCCTTTTGTTTACCTTTAGATAAAGCAGAACCCTGGTTGATTTTGAGAGATGGCTCCATTGACCCTCTCACCGGGCAAAAAGCTGATACACCGCTACATGCGCGACATGCGATGACGATCCGACGTACGTAGGAATACCAGCCATCATCACAGTCCAAGAAAGTATGGGCCTTGCAATTCATTGAGCAAAGGCTTCTCCGGAAGGATCCAACAGCTGGCAAACTGCACATGCTCACCAACCAAAATGTCGTGCACCAGCATACCAAGCTGAAGGCATTTGGGACAAAGGGCTCAGAGCTTGTCAAGGCCCCACCACCCCACCAGGACGTTGCGCGTGGCTGGTCAAAACTCCTTGAATGGGCCATGGTTAATAGAAGTCCTTCGGGGGATCACCCCTAAAGGTACTCATCCGGGGGTGGCGGCTTTGAAACTTTGGTGATTCACCAGTTTGGGGAGCTCCTTCGACTGTTCGCATGCCATTCGCTGGAAATGGCTAGGATTGAGGTCAGGTGGGTTTGGCTTCTGGGTCCTCGGGTTTCATCGTTGCCTTTCTCCAAAATACCCTACCGACGCAGCCGTGCATTCCGAAACCCAAGTGGCCCGTCACCTTCGCCTCTAGGAACCGCTTGTTCCTGGCATAGGAATCCCGAAGTTCGAACATGGTGCGTGTGCTTTTCCTTTGTCTTGGGGGATTACAAAGGCATACGCATCCATGTTTGGGGTCCGAGATTATTTTTTTGGGGGTCAAGGGAAACCAACAGCACCATGTTTGCGGTTCCGAGTTTGACACATACCCACCTGGTGGATGAAATGACAAGCACAACCAGCAGCAGCAGCAGCAGCTGCACCCGTCTTACATTGACAAGGAAAATATTATGGAAGAAAGGGTGATTCTGAGGGGTGGGGTGTTGATGGTCCCATGTTATGGCTTTTACATTTGTTTCAAACCTGTTGACCCCCTTCTTCGTTTTGAAAAGGGGTGTCTTGGGGAGCTTATATATCGTTTTCGTTAAGGCAATCATTTGGGTAAATTGTCGCCTTGTTCATTGTTGGGCTGGGGGGCAATGTGTTGAATGATTCAATAAGGCTAGGCTTTAAGTTGTTTTTACGTTCTGGGGCGTTGGGTGGTGTATTTGGTTTATGGCGTTCTTCATATTATTGTTTCAGTTTGAGGTTATGTTGATGAAAGCTGGTTTCTTCGTGTTGCTTTCGCTTGCCTTGATGATAATGACGATTACATATATCACATTCAATCAAGGTCTGAGTATATTGTTGTTGATATGTTTTGTAGTAGTCCTTGTTTTGTTCATAATAAACCTTTGCCTTCTCTTGTATGTCTTCTTTGTGTGCTTCTCTATAACGTCGTTTACTTTCCAAGCATACATTACATTGTGTTCTTCCTTCGTTGAACTGTTCTAGCAATTGAAAGACTTTTACATTTGGAACATTGCTTCTTGTCTGTCATTGGCCTCTATATGTTTAAGGGGTTATTTCTTTAGAAGTGTTTAAGGGGTGATTTAGGTTATAATCGTAGTATAATGAAAGGTTATAAAAGTTGAAAATGTTTAATCATATTATATAATATGAATAAACAAAATCAGATTTCATAAATAGTAATTGTTTGGATTTCAAACTCTGGGTTTAGTTTTAACAACCACCTCTTGTTCTGAGCACAAACAATACATATTTCGGTTTCGGAAATACATATTTCGATTTTGGAAACAAATATTCCGGTTTCACAATTTCAGGTAATTACAATATGCATGCGCACATGGACATAGATGTGTACATATGTCCTACGCATGTCAGATTCTTCTGTCAAATGTACATATGCGCGTACACACGGTCCCGTGTGTGCCCTCCCCCCCCATCCCCCCCATCCCCCCCCCATCCCCCCCTCATAAACCCGTCCTACTGACCCGGGACAATTCTTCCCGTCCAAAAGTGGGTCGGAACACCCGCTAAAAGGGCTTGGTTTGGTTCTCAACCGGTCAACCGGGCGCAAAACGACTCTCCAAGGGCCTGGACTGCCAGGCACCATTCCGGTTGGACCGGATCTCAGGCTCCTCACTGGCCGACAGGTTCCGCCTGCGGCAGGCACTACGGAGGGACATAGCCATGCTCAAAATCAGTGGTGTCCAAATGAGGGCCCGCCCCCTGGTTTTTGTGAGAACTCTAGTTTCTGGTTCTTGGGAAGTTTAGCGAGTTTCCCATTTCCCCCACACCCCTCCTCCCCCCGACAATTTTGACCAAAACTTATATGCTGGAGTCGCAAGAAGCAGAATCGATGCGCTCCCCTTCAGGGAAACCAATTCGGTCTCAACCCCGAGTTGAAAGCGGAAACTTCGAGCAGACCATTGTTGACTTTCTAAGGAGGAAACTGTGAGGTCTGGTCAGAGACACGTGTTCATCCATCCTTGCAAGGGGGAAGACGGGAGTTGTCCAGACACACTTATATATATATATATATATAGACATATATATTTATAGATACAACCTGGATGTTGATTCCCATGCGCATATCCCAGTCCTCAAATGAAAACCTCCATGGCTCTTATGCTGTGGACAAAGAGCAATTGTCCGAGCCCTCGGATCTCCTATGTGATAAGCTACGAGCTTACCCCTCCCGTTCTCGTGCCAAGCCGTGGCAAAAAGTGGACACCATAAGAAACCCAAAGACAGTCCCCCGAAGCAAGCGACATCGAGCCCCCACCAGACATGCCCCAAAGACATTTCACAGACAACCTCTGAGGACACGCACCGACAAAACTCAGGGACAGCTGCCAAACACACCGTCTTAAAGACAAACCCAAGAAATCCCAAAGTAGACCCCGAAGACACCCCCAAGGACACGCTCAAGGACAACCCCAAAAACTCGCCCACGGACACCTTTGGAGACACCTGCAAAGACATCCCCCGAAAACATCACAAAACATCAAACAAGTCACCCAACGCAAACGCAAAGACACCATTATCCCCCCAAGACACCTTCCAACCCAAACCACCGCGAAGACATGACCCAAGACAACTGCAGAGGCGTACGCACACACACCAAAAAACATCCTCCAAGCAAACACCCCCCGAAAGACTTCCCCGTAAAGACATCTTCCAGCGGCATCCCAGAAGTTGTCGGCCAAAACAACTGCAAAGACCGAAAAGACACCCAAAAACAATTCCCAACACGACAACCAAGACATCCCCTCAAAGCCATCCCCAATTCGCAAAGACATCTCCCGAAGACACTGTTGAAGTCATCTTCCCAACAAAAACATGCGCCAACAAATAACGTTCACCCCGGAGTAATAAACCCCTGTTTATTAATAGGGGGTGTCCCTGGGTGTTGTGGGGATTCATCACTTTTGGAGGGGAACACCCCAAAATATTAAAAAACAGGGGTTGGTTAATCAGGGGTCAACATTACACCCCGCACAAGGGGGAAGCGCGTCGGCTGCCACAACCTTCAACATCTTCAACTAAGCGCTGCACGTGCCACGAAACCGGCGCGCCATGCATCAAAGCGTTGCGCCGACCACAAAATTCGACGCGCTCCAACGCGCTGCGCCAGCCAATCGCGTAACACGTTGAAGCTCGGCGCCGGCCAAGAAAATAAAGCCGCGCCCCTCCAAAGCACTGCGCCTGCCCAAATATCTGTAATTACTCAGCCTCCAAAGCGCTGCCCCTGCCACGCAAGCTGCACGGAAAGCTCTAAAGTGCTGCGCCTGCCACCAAGTTGGAACAAAGTGCTCTAAAGCGCTGCGCCTGTTGTTGATGCTGTAGAGCAGGCAAGATCATGCGAGGGTGCACGGGAAAGACTTTTCCTACCTGTCTGCTCAACTCATGGGCCTAAAGGATGATTTCCCACATGCAAACGCAAACATATTCACACAGCTGCAAAATGGAGCCAATTTTTGTTGACTAGGCTTCACTTCTGCTTGTTGAACTTCCAGGGGTCTGGATATTGCCGTCCGCCATGAGGGCCCACCATTTCCGCGGGCACATCCTCTTCGTGAGAACATTGCTCGCCATTCCGTCGGGACGCAGTGGAGCGGCACCTTCATGGGGCATGTCGGCGTCGGCTCCAGGCCAGGGTTCCTCCGTTCCCATTGCCGCTGTCCTTCCTGACGGAGACCCGCCAGGTCGATGGCCAGCCGTTTTTCCGACGGTGCCTTTGGTGCTCCCGCCCTGTGGATGTGGTCGTACAGGGATCGGCAGTCGGTCATGAGGTGAAAGTCCATCACGCCCGACTCGGACTTCTGGAAACTGCTCCAAAGGTCCCGCAGGAACAGCGCGTGCTCCGAAGCCTCGCAGCACGCCATGGTCTCACCCGCAAACGTGGACCGGCAGGTCCTCTTGCACACCTTGCTCATCCAAGTCAAGGGACTGGCTGGGCCTCCCTCCTTGTTCAGGACGTCTTTGTCGGCCATGAAGATCATGACTCCAAGCTGGAGCCAGTCAGGAACTTCCCTTCCCATTCTTCATCACGTTCACCTTCCAGTTCCACGTTTCGCCAGGCCGCATCGTGGTAGGCGATCAGGATCTCCCGGCCCGGCTGGATCTTCCGCAAGGTGATACCTGCCCTGCAACTTTCCGGCCTGGGTCACTAGAGCGTTGGTCTCCTTGAGGTGCTTAATGCGAGGCGCATTCTGATGGCGTTGTGCTTCTGCCACCCCCATCTGAAGGTCAGGTCTGGATTGCAGCGCAAGCCAGCTGAGACTCCCCACCACCGTCCGGTTGTCTGCCTTCAGCTCACCATCCACCTCCTGCTCTTCGTCCGCCTCCTTGTCAAAGTCCAACCTCTAAAGCCGTCCATCGATGTAGTCCTTCTGGGTGATGGTGAGCGTGCTCTTTCCACGTCGTAGTGACTCCCAACATAGTCGAAGTCCCCAAAGTTCCATTCATCAATGGGGAACGTCGCATCCAGCTTCTGGCGGATGGCCGCGTTGATGGCCTTCCGACCAGCCAATAGCAAGTCGTCCACATGGGACAGCATCAGAGCCCGGACCTCCCCTTCCACGGTCCGGAATTCGAAGACGCAGGGGTCGATGAGGTTGTGCTTTACCATCAGCGTCTCCCCCTCCACCTCCAACTTCAAGTTCGTGACGTCCTTCGAAAGCTTCTCCCACCAGAGCCTTGGACTCGTAGAGAGGCCGAACACCCCCTTTTCGATGGAGACGAGTTGATGGGGTTCCAGACCTGGAATCCCCCTTTTCGGCTGGCGGAAGTAGAGGTTGCGACCCGCCGGGATGCCGTTCAAGAAAGCGGCCTGCACGTCCGCGGCGCAGACTTCCCAGTCCTCGTTGAGTGACTTCTGCAACGTCAGCATGAGGCTGGTCCTCGTAGCCGTCGGGGCGTCACATTGCAGCTCCACCTTCCCGATGTCCGGGTCCACGTGTCCACCGACGCAGAGGCGCGCCTTCGGCTTGCAAGGAATCCTCGCCTCCGGCGCGGCCTTCCTCTTGCTATAGTTCTTGTCCCGGTAGGCGAAGCGGCAGTTAAGGATCCGGTCGCTCGCCACGTTCTCCCGAACCCATTTAGACTCCGCGATCGAGAGCGGTCGCACGGCCTCGAACTTCAAGTGCTCCTGCCACTGCTTCACCTCTGCCTCCACGTAGAGGTGCTTCTCCTCCTCGGGAATGCGCTCCCAGGGGAGCTCCTTCTCCAAAGCCTTGTCCTTGGACTTCTCGCTGCTACCCCGTTTAACCATCATCACTTCTCGCACGGTAGACTTACCTGCCGAAGAAGCCCGTCCGGAACCTTTTGCCGAAGAGGATCGCCGGATCTTCTGCATTCGCTGAGGCACATCGTCCAGACTCTTCCTCCGCCTAGTGAAACCCCGCAGCTGGTCCGCGATCTCGCCTGCTTTCCGAACCCTTTCATCCATCACCGTGTCCTCGTTCGCTGGGTTCACGTCCTCCGCCTCGAGCTGGATCTGCTCGCCGGTTTCAACGTCGACTCCCTGCGCCTCGATGAATTCTTGCAGATCTTGATTCCGCATCACCGCATCCACCTCGGCCAGGGATGTCTTCAGTCGGAACAGGGCGTTGACCTCCTCATGATCAGCTGGTCGAAGATGCTCTCGGGCGCAGAGCAAGCACCGGCCGCCCTGACTGAGCCAGATGTTATTCCCCTCCAGGCCTATCACCGAGCAAGGGCCTAACCACCGCCCAACCGCCTTGGTGCTCTTTGGGGCCCGGTACTCCCGGTAGTAGTACGCCAGGTCCCCCAGCGCGAACTCATGCTTCTGAACCCGTGGTCGCCGTAGTAACGCATGCCGGGCGCTGTCCTTCGACTGAATCTTGAAGAAAGATGCCTTGGCTCCCATCCGGATGGCATTGGGCCGCGACATCTTGGCATCCTTGGTCACCTTGAGGGTCTCGAAGGAGTCCAGCTCCTCCATGATGTCCCCCACCTCCCGAGGCATTGAACCGAAGACCCATTGCCGAGGAGCATAACCGTCTCGATTCCGCAGGCAGTTCTTAGCATCGTTCACCGCGGTGATGCCAAGAGGCACCTCGCTCGGCAGGATCACCTCGTGCTTACAGGTCTTCTCCCAGATAGCTTTCCAGCTGGCGTTGCGCCGCTCCACCAGTCCTCCTTGCCAATGTGCCTGCGCCGCGATGATCCGGATGTGCACGCCTGTGTCGCGAATCATGCTGAGGAACTGGTCGTTGAACCCGATGTCCAGGTCGATGAGGATGAACCGGGGGTGGCCTGCCCAGAGGCCCAATACATGTGGTATGCCTGCGTGATGTCCGTTGAGGATGTGCTCGGCAAGGGGCAGACCACATGATAGGTGGATCCCATGTCCACCATGCTCAGCGCTTTCACCTTGTTCCCGGTAGAGTCGTCAAAGTGGATCACGTCCATCGCGAGCGCCTCCCCGAAATCCATCAGTGTAGCTGGTCGAGCTGGTCGTCGGGTTCCGGGCTTTGTGCATCTGCTGCACGTTTGACACTTCAGGCACTTCGCCGCTCGGATGAGATGTTCATCCGCGTCCAAGTACTTCAACTGGCGGGCCAACTCGTCGTTAGGTGGGTGATCTGCTCACTGAAGGTGATTCTGCGCGAGCCCTGCCATTCCTCGTCTGGAACCAACTCGGTCTCATCGAGGTCCTGTCCATCCTTCGGGATCTCGCCCCCGGTCTTGGTGACTGCAAAAGCTGTGTGCTCCCCGGGGCTCACCATGGTCTTCAAGTAGGCCTTCAGGACGCCGTGGGCGAACTGCCACGGGTAGTGGGCTGTCGCACTAGTCTCTGCACCTTGAATCCGTCGGTGCTCGTGCCCACCATCACATTGTTTCCCCAGGATCTTCTCGAAGGCGCCCGAGGTGGTCGTCAGTCTGATGGTCTTCCTCAGCCGCTCCTTCCCGTCCAGGCTCATCATGCCGAAGCGGCAGAGGTCCAGGTTGAACGTGTGGCTGCCCGGGTCCTCCACCCATTTCCTCACCAACGGTTCCTTCCATAAGGGGATTCTCCATGATGGCATGGCCACCGCTCATCTTCTGTAGTAGCGTGATCTCATCGTAGAGCTCGAGGAACACCCGGCTCGTAGCCGTAGCCGTCGTAGTTCCTGGCATGAGTGGTTGAGGTGGCTGAACCCGCAGAAATTCGTGCAGGGAGGCGCCAGCCACACCAACCGTGGCCTCTGTTCTTCAATCAGCCGCAGTACCTCTGCCCGCCGCGTCGCCTGTCGAAGATCCTGTCCATGGAGAAGGTCCCATGGAGGTAGCACCGCTAGACCAGCTGCCTCAAATGTTCGGGAAATTCTCCCTTTCCCAGCAAAGATCTCGAGTAGGTCGGGGCGCTCCTCATCCGTGTCGGGCACCACCCGCGCCCCAGAACAACAAGTCCAGAGATGTTGGCCGGCTCACCGACCACCTCCTGGGTGAAAGCAACCGCTGTCATAAAGCACATCGAAAACACGTTCTTCGCGGCGCGGGCCATGTTCTGCAACTTCTTCCGGGCGGTCGCCTTCATCTTGCGTCTGCGGACGCCAGCCACCGCTCTCTGGAACTTCTCGTCCGCAGAGAGCTGCCCGCAATCACTCGTCTCTCCCGCGTCGTCTGCCTCCTCCGGTACTCCAGCTCCTTTAGCGTCCTGAGCGGCTTTAGCATGTCCAGCTCCTTTAGCATCTTGAGCGGCTTTAACATCTCCAGACCCTTTAGCGTTTACTCCTTCTTGGGCACCCGGTCCAGGTTGTTCTTGTCTCGCAGCGCCGCCAGCTCCGTCTCCAGTCGGGTGATCCTCTCCCGGTCGGCATCCGAGACCGTGATCTCCATCCATCCCTTGTCGTCCTGGCTCCTCCGGGTCCGAGTGGTCTTGGTGTAGCCCTTCCCGCCACCGCGGCCGCGTGTTGCCACTGAGGAGGACGTCGGAGGAATCCCAAGATAGGACTCCCGTCGTCTGGGGCGGCGGTACCACCGCCAGGCTTTGCGCCCAGGTGGCCAGTCTCCTCAGGTCCTCCGACGCGTTTCCGTTCTTCTCCATGGCCCACACCAGGTACTCCACCGGGATCTTGCGGTACATCCACCCGCGGTAGCGTCCGAAGGGAACCACCGTTGACGCGGGCCCCGCCATCTCCCGAGTCGCAGCAGGAGCCAACCCCGGGCGGTCTTCTCCGGTACCTCGACGCCCACCTTCTCCGCTTCTGCCCTCAGCTCTGTCAGGTTCATCTTGGCCGTCTGCTTCAGAGAGGTCGCCGTCTCCCCGGTAGGCTTGTTTTCCACCACCAGTTGACGTAGCTCCGGCACTTGGGCTCCGAATTGATGAGCTCAGTGGGGCTAGGCATCCCCTGAGACCGTACAAATGAGCTCCGACCGATCCATAAGTTCTGAGGTGGTTCCCGCGTCGTGGGCAGTCTGAGAAGGCCCAGCTGGTACACAGGGAATCAGGGATCAAACCAGGTCCTTCTGGGGGTCACATGCGCCCGTATCATCCTCTCTCTAGTCTCAACCCAGAAGTCCCTCCCGATCTTGTTGTGCTTCCACCATGACAGGAAGGTTTCCTTGGGCAAGGCGTCCAACCCACTCAAGAAATTCTGAACCACCAGATGGGTCTTCTTCGGGTGGACAGCTACGGGGGAATCCTTCTCGCCCTCATCAACACGGGTAGTGAGACCTCCAGACGGATGCGCCATGTACACTCGCGTCGGGCTCTGTAGCAGTGCCACCTCCTGATGGTCAGGGAGGCTGTCTAAAAGCTCCTCGGTCGGGACGTGATCACCGAGTTGGTCTACAGGGATCGTCGGGTGTCCCGTGGCGGTGAGGCCAAGCTCGATCCCGTCAATCCCAAGCGACAAGAAATCGGCTCGATGGCCCTGAACATCTAAAACGGTTCCTAGTCGGGCTAAGGCTGTCCGGCTCAAAAGAAGGGGAACCCGGCCACCAGTGCAGTTCACGATGGAGACCTTCACCAAGAAGTTCTTGCTTTCCAAGCCCAAGATCGCCCACACGGCGAAGCTCGATTGATGGGGCCGGGATGCTCCAAACCGAAATGTCTCCGACTGATCCACCGTGTAGATTGGCAGCCCGTTGGCCTCCGCAAACCTGGTGTACTCCAGGAACCAGTCGTAGCCAGCGACACTCCTGCTACACGCCGTATCCATGATGGCTGCAAACGCAAGGGGCGCTGGCACAAGGACGCCGCCTGCCCGCTGAACAAAGGGGTGACCAAGGAGGGGGCCGTCCGGGTCATGAGGTCCATGTCGTCTTCGCCACTGCGGCTGACAACGACCACCTCGGCACCGCCGATGAGGACATGATACAGCTTGACCCAGCCCAGGTGTTCGAGGCGGGCGCGGACAACGGCATTCGCTTCGGTTCTTGGCTTCCTCGCAATCGCTGCTTGGCCCGAGAGACTGTCGCTTTGAACCGTGCCTTCGCCGCCAGGTGAGCTTCGAAGGTGGTGCGCAGCTCGCTTGCCACCTCCTCGCGCATGATGTCCTCCCCGGACTCCGCCCCATCTCCTCCGTCGGCTCCGTCCTGATTCGTGTCCTCCTCATCGATGTCCTCGACCATCCAGGCGGTCTGACCACGTTCACGTCTTTTCCCGAACCATCCATTGTTTGTTCGCGGCTTGCCGCTGAACGAAGGGTCCGATCTTGTAGTAGCGCAGCGCGTTGAAGTAGCCTGTAGTCGAACTGGTTCCCCACCGAGGAAAGCAGCGCCGTCTCATCGTTCTCGGAGATCCCCATCTTGTCCAGATAGGTCAGGATCATCCTCTCGTACTCCATGTTGTAGTCCCGCATGGCCTGCTCCGGTCGGCGTTTGAACTTCCTGAAGCACTCTGTCATCACCCTGCCGACCTTAGTGAGCTCTAGGTCCAGGAACCGAGTCCGGATCCATTCCTGGAAGTACTCCACGCCCTCGGCCGTTGCCAACCGGTCCAGATTCAGCTCCTCCGAGAAGCTCCATGCTCGGCCACTGAGTGCCGAATAAAGTGCAAGCGCCCGTTGTTCCGGAGGTAGCCGTGTGCAGCGTAGCCAAACCTGCATCTTCCTCCCCCAGCTTCCCCATCAAAGGTGGGCACGCTCAGGCGCTCGCTCGGCTTGTCCTTCCGGTTACCAAAGTCCCAGGGCATCTCTTCGGCTGGGTGATGTCCTCCAGGAGGCGTAGCTCCATGCCATACTCCAGACTGCGAAGCCACTAGCGAGTTCAACTCGCAGTGGGAAAACCGTCGCGTCTGTGCATCGGTCCACCATCCAGTCTTCCAGGCCTGGTCATCCGAGTAGTGCTTCCTCTGGTACTCCGCCTCATAGCCACGCGCCCCATCGCGTGATGAGTACCATCCCCAGTTGTCCCACCACTCATCCGACCAGGTCGCCCGGTCCTGGCTGTCCGTGTCCAAGTTGCTGCCGCCCCCCGCCTGTCCGTATCCGGCCCAGGGATCAGCTCCAGTTCCACCTCCAGACTGCCAGGGGTCCTCTTCTTCCTGAACCTCCACGTCTGGCAGCGTCTCCGTGGCATCTGCTTCTTCTCCACCCGTTCCTATCTGGCTTTCCGGATCATCTTCTCCACCACCTGGGCAAGGTGCCCACATGCGCCCCCCCCCCCTTCACCATCTCCGTCAACCCACCACCGGTAGTAGACGGTGCACTGGTCCGTGGCCGTGAACTTCGGCTCCGCTACCAATGTTGATGCTGTAGAGCAGGCAAGATCATGCGAGGGTGCACGAGAAAGACTTTTCCTACCTGTCTGCTCAACTCATGGGCCTAAAGGCCAGTCGGGGATGATTTCCCACATGCAAACGCAAAAATATTCACACCTGTCACGAAAACGTACCTCAAAGACGAACACCACTGAAGCGCAAATCACGATGGCACGGCGATGCACATGCGCAACCTTCTAAAAGCACGGCGCCTGCGCAGCGAAATGACAGCAACGTCGGAAAAGCTACGACTTACGCACACGCACAAACACCGCCCACAAATCGCGGACGGTTGCGGACAGTTGCGAACGGTTGCGGACCGTTGCGAACGGTTGGTACTGTAGAACAACTCTGGAACACACTCTAGAACAACTCCGTAAACAACCTCCTCCCCCAGACCCCCCACTTATGAACAGGAGGAACCTTCGCTACGCATACGGGAAAAAACGCATGCTAAACTAGCCACCAAAAGGAAAGTTCCTGGATCTTTTTCCAATGCACTTTACCCCACAAATCAGCAACAGTAACTGAAAAAGCAGCAACTTGGCTATCCAGTTTTGCTTCAAAGGGAAACCAAAGGAAAACCAAAAGCTCCGCCACGAATTTGGATGCAAGCCACAGGTAACTCGCCAGCGCCCGGTTCAGCTCAAAGGCCTAGCAATCCAGTCTCGTCGCCCGAATTTGGTCCTGTCTCAAAATAGGAATTGGAACCCCCAAAATGAGACGTGTCCTTTTGGTTTCAATTGTGGAATCATTGAAACACAAAAAAAGCTCAAACACCCCACGTGCTGGGAGTGGACAAAGCAGCTCCTGGAGATGAGTGGCTCGTGAGTATGCTCACACTTGCACGGAGTGATAGATTTCAAAATGCAAGAATGAAGGGCACGGGTACGCCAAATCAGAACTGGTTCAGTCTTTGCATCTTCCCGACTTTGTGTGGATGGAACAGTTGCTGTGCGGGTCAAACTTGTTTGGCAATTTCCAGCTTGGGTCAAGGGGATGTTGGGGGGGGAATGCCGCCCAGGCAATCTGCCGGAACTTTTAGGTGCTTGACGAGGGCTCTATCCTTTGAGGAATCCTGAATCTCCCTTGAGTCGAGCTGTTGGAAGCAAAAAGAATTAACTCTAGCGGGTCTCCTTGTTACATATTCCTGCAGTTGCAATTTGTTTTGCCTAGTCTGCATCGACAATACAAGCCTTGCGCGCGACTTTACCCCCTCACCTTCTCTTGAATTCCTCGTTTCCTCCAAGCTCTCCTTGCAACGCAGAAGATTGGCGGGTGAAAGTGCCAACCTGACGCGGAACTTCCACCACACGTCCTGGTGATCCCCTGCTCTCTTTTGCCAGCACCTCAACCTTCAAAGCTTCCAAGCCTCAAGTCCATCGCGCCGGGCAAAAGAAACCCGGACAAAAGGCGGCGCCCGAGAGTTGTAAGCAACAAATCGAAGTGCAAACACCCTTAAAAAAATGATAAACAAACAGAAAAACAACAGTTGCAGTTTGTGTTTTACCTCAAGCAAAATCGACCTGTACATAGAACACATTGCGTTCTCGCCACCGCTGAATCTCGCGCGCCTGCGGCACTTCCTTCGCCAGGACCTTCTCTATGCCGGGAATCCGAGGTTGGAGTTGGAGGTAATGAGCCAACCCACGATTTTACGTGTTTGAACAGCCCCTCATTTCAAGTTGTCTAAAGCACTGCTTAAAAACCCCTTCTGCTTACACTGTCACTTTAACAATACGCGGTTCCCCTTTAAAGGGTCAAGGTAGGGTTCACACATTTGCCCTGACATCGAGAGGTGTGGTCAACGGTCTTGCGATGCGCCAAGTCCAGGTCAAAACGCTACAAAACCGATAGTTGGTGGTTGTACTGGGCCCATTTCATCACAAAAACCGCCTAAACGGTGGAGCCCCAAGACTTAGACGACCCATTTCTAGTTGTGCAACGCTGATACATTCAGGCTCTCAAATAAACATCAGGATTCCAATGTTTTGACCATAAGCCAGCCGAGTCGGTTGGTTCTTCATCACCAATGCCCCACAGCATGCTTTCCCTGTTGCCTTTATCCGACCTGCCCCCGGTTTCAAGATCCTTTGTGGGTCGTTACTAAAACAGGGGAACCCTGCAGACTCACCATAATCATATGAAACTGCCTCTCAAGTTCTTGCAGGCCTTGCTGAATACTGACCGGCATGTCTTTGTTCAGACGCGCCATTTGGGGATTGTCCAACAAAAAGGGTCCGGATTTTGGATCCCTTCCAGCACAATTGTTTTGCTCTTTTTAAGGGGGGTGTCACCTTTAAGGATCCAAAACAGGACTCCCCTATCCGGATTTACGTCCACCAACCATTTGGAGAGGGTATCCTCAGTGAAGAAAATTCAATAAAAATGGACTCTACCCATTCGGGTGTCCAGCAAGGGACCAAAGGACCGAATCAAGCTTCGCACCCAAAAAAGGGTCCATGGGGCTGCCCCCCTCTTTTTTCGGCCGGGGTTGCCCGTCGCCTGCGTGCCCCAGAGCCACCGCAGCTCGGCTGCGGCCTGGGCCAACAGCCCTTGACAATAAAAAACGGCCTATGTCCCCAAAAAACCTCCGAAAACCTGGGCCAAAAGCCACAAATCCCAGCCCAAAACCCAACCTAAAAAACAAAAGTGCCTCAAACATACGCCAGGTGAAACTCCACTTGTTCCAATCGGTGGCAACGCATCGAATTGATCAGCTACCCACGTGCTTGCCTCCACTCACCAAGTAGTATGACTTTCTTTCAATTACCCAAGTGGTTGAACGCCGACGGATCGGCGGGCAATCCCTCACCAAAGGCTTGCCTGTCCGAAGGCTTCCCTCAGTAAAATTGCACAGGCTTCCTTGGGCGCACTTGAAAGAAGGGAAAGGGGAGGCATGCTTCCACTTTGACCACGGATTTGGATGTCGGTTCGTTCCGAGTTAGCATGTTGGTCTCTTTCATTGCATCCTGTCTTCAATTGTGGATGGGGTCATTAAGTTCAATTCGCTTAAAAATGCCGCCGCACAACTGCCACAATGTTTCTGCGACAAAACGCTTATGCATGCTCACCGGCAAAGGAAATGTTGATTTGTCGCGTGAGGTTGGTTTATAGTTGGTAAGTTGTTGGATTGTGCATATCAACCACCAAGCTCCAAGCTCCCACCACCTCCCCAAGCCAACTGCATGCCAGCGCACGAGCGACAAAGGGGCGAGGAAGAAAAACCATGGACTCCTGCAAGCACCAGCACGCAACTTGAGCTTCCCTGTAACTGGCGGTTTGGATTTGTGATTTGGAGATTAGGGATGGTTGGTTTTCCATTTACCCTCTACAAGAACCAGGGGTTGAAATCCCCAAACCACCAACCCAGGTTGCCTGGCGCAACGCAGCTAGGCGTCTGACCAAACAGCAAAATGGTGCCAAATACTTCGAAAATCCCTCCAGCTTAGCTGCCAAATCATTATCCTCTCAAAGGCTCCCGACCAACATGTGCAAACCAGTTCGCCCAAGCCCAGGTGAACAAATCCAGTGCCCACCCCACCAAAAGCGGTCCTCATCTCATGGCGCCGAATCTGTTTAAACCGAAGCTGTGTTCGCGACCACCAGGCTTCCGAGGTCTACATATACAACCGCATGGCCACCAGGAACCACCACGGCGGCGACAAGGAGATGAGAAAACAAGTTCATCTTTGAAAATAAGGCACAAACGCAAGGCCCTGCAGAACGCAAGTGAATTCCGGGCCTCGTCGTTAACTGAGGCGCGTTTTCAACCATGGTCCAAAATCAAATGGCCACTTAGTTGCATCCCATTTTAGCGACCTCAAGGCATTTTTGTTTGAGACTGTACTTTGTTTCATTCCACGTTTGTCTGAGTTCAACATCAATCAAGCCTTAAGCCAAATGGAAGTGATTTTCAATTTGCTTCTTGATCCGGACGAATCAGGACAAGGGATTCTGCAGGTTTTAACAGTTTGTGGGTGGCGAACCCGGGGCACCGCGGCAGGACGTGGCCCGCATCGGCGCAGCGAGACACGAGGACAGCCCAGTACCCGCACAACCCCATGAAGGGAGCCTCCGAGCACTTCCAGCTCCTCTCGTGCTTGCGGGGACGTACGACGACACATCCGCCCCCCAGCAAGCCCTGGCGCTGCCGTCCGCGGCCTCCGTGATTTGTTGTCGTTGTCTCGCCCAACTTGCCACTTTTTTTTTACGGCCCATTTTTTTTCTCGGGCGCGCGCCGTGGTGCGGGGATGCCTCTGAAAGACTTTTTCGCCTCACAAACCACTATTCTTCCAGTCCCTCGGCGCATCGAGGGTTTGGAAGACTTCTCGTTTTTTTGCATGATTTTGCACGATTTTTGCTCGGTGTGCATCGTTTTGCGCCGTGGTGCTGGGGAGGTGCGAGCAGATGATGCAGACGACCTGGAAGGGCAAGTCGTCCGACTGAGGGGCTCGTCCTTGTCATTCGTGCTGTTTTTGGATCACGTCTAAATCCCCCGAAGGTCTTTTAATTAAAGGGCCGGATAACCCCACAAGTCTATGCTTATTAAAGTATGCGACACTTGCATCTGCCGAGCAGCGAATAATCCCAAATCCGAGACATGCAAAGACCCTCACATGCAAAACCTTCACACAGTCAGCTATGTCGAAAACTCTCAGCACTTTGTTTTTCGCTCTGGCAGATCAAGGGGTCGCATGTTTAACAGATGGCTTGAAGTGCAAACGCGTCAGGCGCAGCATGTGTCTGCCAGCCTGGCCCCATGCATCCTGCGCTGTAAGGCGCTAAGTACTTCAAGACGAAAGCCTTCCAAGAGCGGAACCCCATTTCTGCGGGCTTCTTTGCATTGCAGCTGGCTCTACAAGCGTATATAGGTCGCGATTTCGCGAGCC